ATTTCCTGTCGTTGGCTGGGCTAGCACTGATGCTGATAATTAGTAGACAGCTAAGGTTAAGGAAGGCTGGACAGAGGTTCACAGATGCTCTGTGCTGTTTTCCAACTTTTCTGTGTAAAAAAATAAAAATAAAAAATGTTAGGGGCAGCTGGAGAGATGGCTTGGCAGTGGAAAGCACTTGCAGGGGGCGGAGTTTGGTTCCAAGCACCTACAAGCTGGCTCCCAACTGTGGCTCCAGTTCCAGGGGACCTGGCACTCCTCCTGACCTACCTGGGTTCCTACAGCATGTGGTGCACAGACATACACCCAGACACGCGCACGCACGCACGCACACACACACATTTTGTAAACCCTTTAGGGGCTGCACAGGTGACTCGGTAGTTGTGGTCTGTGTCCCCTCCTGGAGAGGACACCTGGGAGGTCTTTAAGAACAGCTGTTGCTCTTTGCAGAGCGAAGAGATTTCATCTCTGACACCCATCAACCCCAGGTCCGGGGTAGGGAGGTCGACACCCCCTTCTGACCTGTGGACTCCTGGCATTCACACGGTATGCGAACATACGTGAAGGCAAAACACTCACTCACACACGTATAAATTATAGGATAAATAAACGCTACGATTATTTCTTAAAGAGCGCTTGCACACTGCAGAGGCCCAGTTTGGGTCCCAGCACCATGTTGGGTTGCTCATAACTGCTTGTAAACTCCAGCTTTAGAGGATGACGACACCTTCTTCCGGCCTCTCTAGGTACCCACACACACACACACACACACACATAAATATACATACAAGTAAGATAACTTTTTTTAAGGTTTTCCAAATGAAGTCACTCAAGAAGTCACTTAAAGACATTTAGCTCACTGGACTGGTCTATTAGCAGTGAAAAGGGGTCCTGGGACAAAACAGAACAGACTTGGAAATTTCCTGACACGTTCCTTAAAAGACGTCACAGAGTGGGGTTTTGTTGTTTGGGTGCTCAGGCTGGCCTCACAGCGTCTGCCAGCACCGGCCCCTTGACTGCCTCCCGTTGTCGTTTTCAGCGATGATCCCCGGGAGCTCAGCTTGAACTCAACTGCGGGGCAGGAGCTCAGCACTTGTGTGAGCCCTCCCCCGCTTCTGCAGAGAGAGGCTGCCTCCCAGCCTGAGAGCCAACGGAGAACCAGCGGGCTCCCCAGGGGGCCGCTTTGCACCTTGTTTGCCTTACTCTTGGGTCCAGCAGGTCTCCGTACTCCTCCAGCCTCCTGGACGGTACGCCGGCACCCACCCCTTCATTCCTTCCACGCTGACTCACCCCAAGCTGTTGATAGGAGAGAAATGAGGGCATTTCCCACCAAGGTCAGGGCCAATAATGTATCCTTGGATGTTTACCTCGCATTTCTCATTTCCCACGAGACAAATGCAAGAATGTGAGACTGTTGCCATGTGAGCAGCTCACGTGTGCCCACATTTGATTACTGTCTTTTGTTTCTGTGGGCCTGGGCTCCTCCAGCTCACCAGCCGGGAGGATACTGCCGCCAGAGAGTCTGAGCTCTGGCCTTCGCTGCGGCCTGGAATGCACTGCTGCAAGAGCCAAAACAAGGCAGGATTTGTAGCCTGAACTGGGCTAGGTCTCTGTGCAGGTAGGGTGCCCACAGCTTCACTTCTCTATTCTTACCTCAGTCCTGGGCCACGTTTTGCAGTGGGGATGAAGGTATTCTGACCCCAGCTCAGCTGCCTTGAGAGGGAGAACTACAGAGGATCACTAAATTAAAGGGACACAACATCTAGGGTTTTCGCCAGGGTCCAACGAGATCTTAGGTGAAACTCGAGGAGGCAATGGGGAGCCTGGCCATGTACCCCCCCACTCCAGGAAGGAGCCGTTGAACAGGCTTGGGTAGTGTGAATGGGGAGCCTCCTCCTCAGAGGCAGCCCCAGCTACAGGGCTCTGTGGCACAGCTGCATGGAGATGGCGAGACCTCTGCCGCTGGTCCTTCAAGGTCAATTCAGTTGTCTCAAGAGTGTAACAGGCAGCAGAAGGCCATCACTGTAGGACAGGCAGAGGGGGGACAGCTCTTCCAAGGTAGAGGAAGTGGACCCTGATCAGACAGGCGCCAACATGTCAAGAAATAGTCTGACCCAAGCAACACAGGTGCTGGCTGACCTTAGAGGATTCCTTCTTGCCTTGATCTGAGGGGACAGCCCAGAGCTGTGGAATAGAGAGCTGAGGTGTGCACGAGCAAGGGGAAACCTATGCTTTCAGTGAAGAATGTCTGCCTGGCATCCACAGGATCCACAGGCTTGAAGAAAAAAAGGGCAAAGGAGGAGGAGACGAAGAAAGAAGGAAGAAGAAAGCCCGACGAGTTATTTTAAATCAGAAAACGGACCCTTCCATTTTCACACCAAGTGCTCCTTGGCTACAGAGACCACTGGCCAGGAGGGAGACAGGGCCATAGGCCACTGCTAGATTTCGGACCAGAAAACCCACATGAGTGGGGCCCCTCAGTCCCACTGCACTTCAGGAAGGCGGCAGACGTTCTGTAGAGGTTCACCACCAAACAGTACTGGGGAAGGGAAGGCCATTGACGCTGGGCAGGGGTGTGGAGGAGTACATGAGGAAGGTTTATTGGCTTAAAGGGCCTTTCAGAAAGGAAGACTCAACAATGAGAATGACTTGGAAAGGAAACACATATTTTTAAAAACGATTTCCCAGAAAAATTTACATGTCGTGTGTCCAGACCCAACCCCAAGGAGCAAAGGAGACATGATGCGGTACCCAAGGATGAGGCCGCTGGGATGAAGGAGGCAGCGGCAGGAACAATTCCAGATGCTGGGTACGGTCACCGAGCAGGAGTTTCCAACTGGGGTGGTTAATGCTGTGAACCACTACAGGGGTCGGGATGACAGGACGGCACGTGAGTGCTCCCAGCTGAGGAAAGGAAAGGCAGAGTTTGCCTCCCCTCACCAAAATCACCATGGACAACAGTGAAGGGGTCCTAGGACACCGGTGCACAGTAACGGAGATGGTTCCACCAGTTTCTCAAAGACTTGGACTTCTCAGTGGGCAAGCGTAAGGGAGAACACCAGCCAGAAGACGGAAAGCGGCCTTCCCAGGAGGCCGTGGGGGAGCAGTGGGGGTGGAGTGGAAGGTCCCTGGGGCCCATGCACACCCCCCTAAACTGAGTCGTAGAGGAGTCAGTTCCAGTATTTGAGATCAAAGCCACCGGCTCCCACTCTGCTTAGTCCGTCAAAGGAAGACACTCTCATGCCTTAACCCCAGCACTCTGGAGGCAGAGGCAGGCAGGTCTTTGAGTTTAAAGGTCTGCAGAGTGAGTTCCAGGGCAGCCAAGGCTACACGAAATGAGACCCACCTGCAGTCTTTGAGCACAGAAGCCAACTTGGCGTGCACATCCTTGAATACAAAACATTTCCTGCAGGGAGGATCACTCATTGGAAAAAGGCGCTTGCCATGCAAGCCTGGCAACCTGAGTCCAATTCTGGAAGCCACGTAACGGTGGAAGACAAACAATTCTTAAGACTTCTTATGAATTTTTTTACACAACTGAGTTCTTCATATAACATGCCAAAATTACTTAGTATTCTCCCCCATGAAAAGAACAGCAACACAAGAGAACTATTAAATACTGTCATGTCTAATTCATGTTCCCATGAGCTCATAAATGGACTCCTATGGAGCAAGCAGCCAGGCAACAAGATGGGTTTTTGTGTCGATGAGGTGAACAGGGCAGGCTCTTATGCACCCTATTGTCCAACTTCCTGTTGTCCAAGGATGTGCTTGAACTTGCTGTTCCCGCTTCACCCCTAGAGTGCTGGGACACAGGCCTGTGCCACCATACCTCATCCCCAGTTTATGTGGTCCTCGGGTTTGGTTCCAGGGTTCTGGGCACGGTAGGTGACTCTCCAACAAATGAACCACGCCCCGGTTTCTATAAAGGTTTTTATTTGCTTTGTTTTGTTTTTCAAGACAGGGTTTCTCTGTGTAGCCTTAGCTGTGGCTAACTTGACTCACTTGATAGACCAGACTGGCCTTGACTCCAGCCAGGCCTGGTGCCCCACCCTGTATCCTGAGCATTTGAGAAACTGAGGCAGGAAGGTAACAGTTTAAGGCCACCTCAAGCCACTTAGAAAGACCATCAATTAAATAAAAATCCCATAAAGCTAACATTTGTCATGGTTCGACCAAATTCTTCTTGCAGCAGATCTGAAGGAAGTGGCTGTGTAACCCTGTCGTCTTTTTTTTCTCTTTTAAGTTAGTATGCATACTTGGTGAAAAATTGTGCCCTCTATAAAGCTGCCCGCCTCCTAGGCTTCAGATATAAACTGGGGGTGCCTCTGGCACCCGGCCAGGGTTCTGAGAGCTCCAGTCGCGGAGGGCAGTTGCCTCCCTCCCATGCCACACCCAAACACTAGCAGCCTCAAGGACGGCACCTGAGTGTTCCCTCTGTATCCCTCTCCCGTCTCTAAAACGGCGACAGAAGCAGGTGCTGCAGACCTGGGTCATTCACTTCAAGTCAGTAAAATGGCCGAGTCACCCTCGGGGAGGGCGTGGTGAAGAGCATGAGTGCACACGTTGAGCAAGAGACTGCAAGAACTGGGTGGCAGTGCCGGGGCCTGGGCTCCGGGAGGCTCACAGCTGAACTGCACACCTTGAAATCCATCGCTCTGGAGGCAGAGGGAGGAGGCGCTGAATGCATTCCAGGCCAGCCGGGTCAACACGGTCCGTTCCCAGGCCAAGCGGGACTCCACAGAGACCCCCCAAAAACAAGTAAACAAACCACGGTGCATTGGCTAGGATAGGGCAGCTGCCAGGAAGACACAACACCTTTTTTACGTCTCAACGTTCGGAAGCACTTTTGAGACTAGAGATGCTGTGATGGCCAGCCCACGGACAGTTTGATAGGGTGATGACTGCTGTAATGGTTTCTGGGAAAGAGCGCCCAGGGAGGACGTAGTCAAACACAGGAAAGCAAGAACAGAAAGATTAGTACTCATGACGCATGACGATTAAAAAATACAGTCACTTTATTTCCACTTTCTTCCCAGTCCCCTGTAGCACAGATGAGAACCCTCTAAAACACAGAAATATCTCAAGAGAGCATGTCACAGGATAGAAGGTATAAGCAATAATTTGGCAGGAACTCATCAACTCTAGCAGTTCATAACCCCCTGAATCCAAATTTTAAAATTCAAAAATAACAGTTAACTTTATTTAACATGTTACAGCCTCGCATTTAAAACATCCAGCTGGGGGCTGGATCTGGGAGGACGTGGGGGAGGGGAACACAATCAAAATGCACTGTATAAATTCTCAAAGAACTAATTAAAAAACGAGAAAAATAAACTGTCATGCTCTAGTTAAATATTTCACAAACAACACTGTATACAAATAAAATATTACACAAAATATTTCTTAAGAAACTGTTTTGGTCTTTGATCCGAACAATAAATAAAAGCACAGGCACTTCTACGCCGACAGGGAAGCAGCCCCACCCAGGAGAAAGTCACCGCAGCAACAAGCGATAACGTGGCGAGTAAAGAGCCCCGGAGTTTTGAAACCGACGAACCCTTAAGAAAATGCCTGCAAGTTCTACCTTCTCATTTCAAGTTCAACAGTCACACATGCTCCCCTGGTCCCCCTGAACATTCACAAACCCACTCTGTCGGCCTCTTCAGTCTTCACTGGGGTGGCCGTTAGGGAATCACTCATGGTTTCAAAATACTAAAATTAGGTTAACTACCATGATGCCAGCCAGGAAGCCAAACACAAGTGAGAGAGAACCCCCTTCGTCCCAGACAGGATGAGCTGCGCCTGCAGCACGGCTTGCGTGCAGGGAGTAACCGGTTCTAGCAACGAGGCGAATACTGTTGGGGTGACAGGGACGTGTGACATCAGTCCACTTTGTAGACAACTTTTAAAATCCATCAAAATCTTATGAAAATAAATATAATTCTATTTCACAAAAACACCAGGTCATGCCCTACAAAATCTTGATAAGCCAATAGGTTTATAAATACCTGGTGTATCTGTCCATCATTATAACGGGAACAGGAATGTACCACGGACAAGGAAAAAAAGACCTTCCTGGTCGAATTCTAAATATGATTTTGGAGAAGGAAAACAAATCAGACACTGAGGACTGGCAGCCAGCGGAAGGCCCAGGAGCAATCATCCCACTGTGGTGGTTTAGCTTCAGCTTTCTCTCATCACGAGGTGTGGGACCGAGGGCTCGGAGGCCCGGGTGCTACCTACTCAAGAAGGCTGACGGCTTCTTACAGCGATCACCTACCGTGAAAGCACAACATAGGAACTAGTCAGGCTAGGCCTTTTGTGAAACGGAGCTCACCTGTAGTTCAGCACTTTAAGTCAGGACTTTGCAACTGAGACCAGATATCAATCATCTCCTGAGGTTTTCTGCTGTGCACTAACATTAGATCTACATACGAACAAATGTTTTTTTTATTTTTTTCTTCAATGTCAAATGTCCTGAAGCCTTTGTGTTTCTCTGGAACAAGGCCCAGTTTCTGAAGGCACATTCCAGTATAGACATCATCAATGGGGTAGAGGTGGACCCGGTCGGTTACGTTGTATAGCCTCAGGGCCAGGGGGCCGGAATACAGGAAGCCCCCGCCCCCTGCATACGGTGGGTAGACCCCAGTGTAGAAGACTTCCGGGATGTAGTACTTCAGTTTCTTGTCCCGATGAGGCCCAGCATTGTGGATCACATCTCCTATAAACAAGTCTTTGGCTTTGTTCTTGGATAAGCTATTCAAGTAATTCAGGATGTGATGAGTGTTCACAAACACGTCATCATCGCCCTTGAAAACGAACTCCGCGTCTGGACAGGAAGTGCTCAGCCACCTGAGAAACAGCACTTCCTTAAGAGACAGGTTGAAGAACGTGTCTCTGTAGTTCCACATGAGGATGTCCTGGTGCTTCTCACTCTCAAACTTCAGCATGTCTGAAAGGTTAGGGTGGTTGTCCTCCGGGGGCGTCTGGCCCAACAGGAAGACTCTTACCACTGACTGGTTCCCCACGTTGGTTTCTCTGCCCCAAGATTCCCGAATCGCTTGCCTTCTGTCAAAATGTGGGATGAGGGATTTAATCGCCAACAGTAAGAAGGGCTTCTTTGCACATTTCTTCGGCTGATCTATGAGCAGTGAGTAATTGCGGCATCTGAGATACAAGAGGAAGTCTCTGAACCTGTCCGGCAGATTGTTGAAGTCCGTCACAGCTGTCATGACCGCAGAGTCCGGCTCGCAGTAGTTCAGGTGGCTTGCGTTGGGAGCCGTGTACAGGTCTCCCGTCTGATTGGCCAGCCTGTTCAGGATGGGATTGTACCTCCGGTTCAGCTTCTCCTGCTCCCTGTTCCAGTACGCCCGGGGAGGGCTGGAGAGCCTCCAGAACTGCTCTTTGGGTATGATCACTCCTCCCTTTCCATTTTTTTCTTGACTACTGTTTCTGGAGACTTCCACAATCAAATAAATGAAGACATTGACCATCATCAGGACTCCCAACAACTTCAGTCTCCGGCGTCCAACACTCATTTCTCATATCTGGAACCGGAGAAAGGGAAGCACATTAGTTCACTCTCAAGTTGGTTCCCACGCATACTTTAGACCGTTTTATTTCTTTAGTCCTTCCATGAAGGCTTAGCGTGGTGACACACGCCTTTACCTGCAGCACTCGAGGCAGAGGCAGATGAAGCCCCCAGTTCTGGGTCAGCCAGGGCTACACAGTGAAACCCATTCTTTATTTTTTAAAAAGTCTTCCTATGAAGAAATGTTTCAGAATAAGGACTCGCCTGCTCTGGCTTAAATTAAGCCTCAAACTCTCCATCTACAGGATAGTTGTATAAAATATGTAATTTTTGTAGACAGGGCTTTTGAAACATGCCTGGCTACTGCAATTACCGTGTAAGCCACAGCTGCCACCACTGCTATTCTAGACGGAAGCAATCACTAAATAAACAACCTTGTGATTGATTAACTATTATTCTTTAAAAGATACAGACAAGTCAGTGCTTTGCACACTAACTGGCCTATGATTCACAACAACAAATTTTAATTCTGTGATTCAACACGCACAGGCGCACGCACATAACATCACTCTCCATTTACCTGTTACACTATGCAGAGTGCCCTGTCTTTCTCTCTGAATTTATTTCTTTAAAAATGCAGACCCAACCCCGAATTATTTCCTAACCTACCAGTGTAAATAAAATAAAAATTAGTGGATTACTTTTGGTCCACTGGCTTCTAACAGAGAGCTCCGAGTGAAAAGGGGTTTGTCACACCGAGAACGCTGTGAAACCATTCCACTATGGACAATTCAGTTCACAGGAATTGAAGGATTCTTTGTGTTTCTTGTAATACAGTTAGTAGTTTGTACTGACAAACCCACAGACGGCTTACAGTTAAGCCTTCCAGAGTGTGGAGCCAACACACAAAGGAAGGGCTGGAGAGATGGCTCAGCAGGTAAGAGCACTGGCTGCTCTTGCAGAGCCCCCAAGTTTAGCTCCTAGCACCCACATGTCAGCTCACAACCAGTTCTAGGGATCCGAAGCCCCTCAGGCACTAGGCACCCACACTGTATGCATAGATGCAGAGAAAGAGACACACACACACAATTAAAAATAAAAGTAAGTGTGTAAGAGAAAGCAAACCTGCCTGTACCAGCCAACACTGCGGACGCCCCCCTGGGCCATTCTTCCTTAAGCGATAAAGCGGAACAAGTGTTGCAGTGTCTACACTGCAGTCCGCATGTAAGGAAAGGAAGGGGTTTAGAGCACAGGAGACGGCCCCAACGAGCTGTGTGCACCTTTATTCCCAGCACTTTGAGGGAAAGGAAGGAGACTGGGAGTCCAAGTCAATCTTGGCTACTGGTTCTCTTTAAATCAGTTTCTACTGCTACCAAGGGCCCTGCCCAGGGCTGAGGTGAACCGCTCGCCAGGCAAGCAGAGGACGTGATTCTGGCCACGTGTGAGCTGCATGTGTGCGATGCCGAGCTCCCACAGACCTCTCGGCCCAGCAGCACCACCCCCGGCACCCCTTAGCAAGCAGGTTAGACCGGGACGACCAGCACTAGTATCCGTTCTCGTCCTCTACATGCGCGCTGCGGCAGGCGTATGTGCACGCGCACGCGCACACACACACACAGAGTGGGCTTCCCCCAGAAATCCTGGTCTCTTGGTCTCGGGCTCTTTCTCCTCTGCAAGACGCAACAAGGACAAGCATGGGAATGGACAAGGAAAAGTTTCATGAGGAAAACATTTGGAAAGGTGCTGGGAGCAGCCGTACACACTGATTACAGACAAGCTGAACAGTGGACCTACATTTCAACTTAGTAAAACAATGAGGTACCAGTAAACAGAAGACAACCATTTACTGAAAACAGAAGCACAGCAGGCTGCGAAATTCTCGAGCCAATTCTCCTGAGATGCAGTGTAAACAGGAGGGAAATGACCACAGGTAAACCAACGCATTCGTCAGACACCCAGCTTGTGGGGGCCGGGAACTAACGCAATCCCGTCAGAACCACGTGACACTTCTCATCAGTCCGCCAATCCTTTCTTAAACATTATTTCATTAATTATTTGTGAGCATTTTGCCCGAGTGTGTGTCTGTGCACATACTGCAGAAGCCGGAAGAGGCTGAAGGGAAGGTCAGGAATTCCAGGCTGTGGTCACTTGTCCCTGGCACCCAGGTGGCACCCAGCCACTGACCCCCACCCGTCCCACTGAGCCCTGCGGACACGTGAATGCCTGAGGCTCCGAAGGAGCACCATCGTCTCCACTGTGCTTGTACAAGGGGTCAGTCTATGGCGCATCTCCTGTCTACTACCCCAACCCCATCCCGCCCAGCCCAGCCCCACCCGCCAGGTGCCCACCATGCCACTTTATGAGTTAAAAGAGGGATGTCGTGGAGGCTGACTATTGCCTAAAGTCGAGGGTGAGCTGGCTCCCAGGGTACCTGATTCTGGCGAAGGTTTGGGGCTGGCTCTAGAATGAAAAGGCTGGAAGCCTGGAGCCTTCAAAGAAAGGGAAGTGGGAGCGCCAGAGAGCTCGCTGCCGGTCCCTTCAGGAAATGCCAACCTTTCTTGGAAGACCCTAAGTCCCCAAAGGCTTGGAGGAACCTACGCCCTAATTTCAAACAGACATTCTTCCTGAGTTACCTGAGGAGGGCGAGAAAGCCCAGATTCTCAACTACATACCCTCAGGGTTACAGGTCATCGTTCACTTGTGACCTAGATGCTGACTCCACTATGAGAAGTTTGCTTTTAGACCCTGACAGCAAGTGAAGTTCACAGAAGGGGAAATAACAAAGGCAAAGAGCCCATTAAAAAACAAAACAAACAAACAAACAAAAAACTGTGGGAAAAACTCTCAAGTAGTTAAGCAATTCCCACTGCAGACATAAAGTCCATTTCGTGGTTTTTGGTGGCCCCCTCCCCCCCTCAGGAAGTCACACTGCTTAAAAAGAATGTAAGAAATACACCAAAGCTAGAGAAATGGCCAGAATTTTAATGAAAAATCCTATATGCAAACACCAGAATCTTAGCCTTTTTCATTTCTTCCAACAGGGATGGACACTTTTCAGACCCCCACACTCAGGTTTCTCTGTGTAGTCTTGGAACTCTCTGTGTTGGAACCACAATGGCCTCCAACTCCACCTTGAGGTCCTACTGCCTTCAACTCCAGTGCTGGGAAAAAGGAATTTACCACCACCAACCAGATAAGAACACTTTTCTGCCTTCTACAACACTACAGCTGACTTTAACAAACAAACAAACTTCCTTTTTTATTTTGCACCTAAAATCCTGGGGCGAGAAGGTGATGAGCAAGCATGCTCACCGTGTCTAAGCCGTGTGAACACACAGCACCAACCGTAACAGACTGTGGAAGGCGCCTTAATGCCGCCCCGCTCCATTCTTACCTGGAGACGGCATGGGGCGCTGAAGCCTGCCCCACAGCCTCCGATGGCTCTGCCCACACCAGCTCCGGGTGCCACGCCACCTTTTAGAAAGGCTCCCAGAAGTCAAGTATGACTGCGTATGTGGCCTGGAGCTGGCAAACCCACCAAGCTACTCTACATGCTCACCTCATCGCTGGCCACGTAGCAGATGCCCAACAGCAGCCAACCAGGGCAGCGCCAGCAGCACATCCAAGTCAAACCTGCCTGCACCCAGATGCACTTCCCCCAGCCCCAAGGTGCGATGGGGCTTGGACCTTCGGGAGACAGATTCACCCAGCGGAAGAAGCTGGGAAACCGGGGCCCAATTTCCCTCAGCTCACATCTTGCCCGTCATTAGGAAGACTGGGTCTGCCCACGGCAGACTATAGCCCATGCAGCTATTTATCCAATGGCTGGGGTGGGTTCAACACAGGGTCGTGATGAAGGGAACCACGAAGTGCTAGTCTTGTTCTCAGTGTAATCCTCTTAGAGTAACTTTAAATTCTTTCACTTCGTTATTCAACATAAGTAATTACTTTAAAAATATACATTTCGGCCCACAAAAGTACCATGAAGTTAAAAATCAGATGCAAGGGACAGGTAGGAATAGTAACATTTATTCAGGCAAAATATTTCCTATGCTGGCCATCTTGTAAATGAGGTAAGTTTCCCCAGTTCCTGGCCAATGTTGGGAGTCAAGATTTGAGGTAGGGCAGACTTGCCCTGGAAATCCAGGAAGGTTTACCACACACACCATGAGGCCGGAAGCAGCACCCTCAGCTTGCTCTGTGACCCAGCCATTGGGGGTCACAGTTTCTCAGTTTCTTTTTCTTGACTTTGGTTTTCTAAGTTTCTTTTCCCCCCCATATAAAACACGGTTGTCAGAAGTCACCAATTTTAAGATTTTCTGTTGCACTAACCAGCAGCTGTGTAACCCTAGCCTCCAGCCTACCCACTTACAGTGTGACACACTACCACACCCAGTCGCCTTAACTGTAGCCAGGAGCAAAGAAAGGCTCTGCAGCTACACACACAGGCCACCCAGACTCCTTCCTTTACGGCTCCAAAATAGTGGACAACGCAGTGTTTCACTGGAACACTGGAAGCCACGAAGTGCGTGCTGCTAAGAGGTTCCTTCAGTTCTGAAAGATACGCGAACACGTAAGCAGGTTAGTAGCCAGCAGACACTGAAGCTGACCAGGGTAGCCACGACAACCCACTCTCACTGAGCCATGACTCCTTCAAAGACAATACCTCAGACAAGGATGCCCAGCAACAGCCAACCGGGAAAACACCAGCAACACATCCAACCAAACCTGCCTGCTCCAAGATGCACTTGGCCCAATGCCAAGGTGCGATGGAGCTTGGACCTTAAACATCCTTCAAAGGCCTGCCACCACCAGAAGATAGATACACCTAGCGGAAGGAAGTTGGGAAACCAGGGCCCAATTTTCTTCAACTCACTTCCTGCCTATCATTAGGTGACTGGTTCCCTCAGGTAACTGCTCCCACCATGATGTACTGGGCCACCATAGGCCCGAATGCAACGTGACAGAGTGACCAAGGACCAAAAGCATGGGGCAAATGAGCTTTTCCACCTTCAA